ATCACGAATTTATAAATTTGTTTTTTGGTATTCATTGTTAATATATTTTGTGCTTTATAAAAAAAAATCGTCTCATTCGTTATAAATGCAAGATCATTATTTGGAAAATAAAAACTAAAAAAATAGTGGAAATTTGATTGAAAATTTATTCAGAATTTATGTGCACATAAAGTCGGTGTAAAACACTGTTCTTGAAAACTTAATTAGCCTATTATTTAGTTTATTTAATTTTATATTGTAATATTGGTAGTCATTTAACTAACTAAAAACTTAAAAATAATTATTTAAAGTTGTATCATGAACATAATAAAATATATTTCTAAATGTTGTGCTATGGAAATACTTAGAAAAATACTTTAATAAAATACAAACAGTTAATACTTTTTATCAAATAAACTCAGGATAAAAGCAACATCTTATTATCAGTCTAATAAGTACACAAGCCATATCTGACAGACTTTTCAAGTGTTTTTGAAACTGAATCATGATGAGAATGACAAAAATAGGTGAAAAAGAAAAAAAATAATACGATTGATATATAAAATGACAGAAAAAAAGTAGCATAAAATAGTTTATTGTGGAAAGAACGAAAGAGAGAACAGCATATCTTTATCTTTGTCAACTTTTGAAGCTCTTCAATGCTTTAGGGATACTAATTTTTTTGCTGTGCTCTGCAAATGTAAAGGATAGCTTCTACCGGAAACACTCCAACGTTTCACCTAGAGCATTATTCCTTTGCCAAGTTCGTAAACTTGAAATTATTAAATTGAATTTTCTGCCGATCAACTATCATTTAATGTTTACTACGACTTCACTTCCCCAGATTCTTCTTTTACCTGCGGGTGAGAGGTAGTATTTGTGATCACAGAAATACTTTTCCCACTCTGCAAACTAGAATGGCTTGATGAACGACTATGACTTTGACTGCTCGCGCCAACAGGAGTCTGTACAAGAGGTTGTGGTGGAGTTCTGGCACCAGATCCATTGATTACCGTGGAATTAGGTTGTAATTGCATATGATATTTGTAAATATTTTCTGTACTCTCAACAATTCCTGTATTTCAATGAAATTTTCAATGAAATTCGAATTAATTCACTATGATTTCATATTTAAAATTTTAATTTGTATAAATATGTACCAGCTTGTAAATTTAAACTGCGTCCACGAACCCCAGTCTCTTTTGAGGGAGGACTCCACCAATTAACAAAAGTTCCCACAACAGGCACATGTCTAAGAATACCTTCTTGCCATAATTTTTCAGCGTTTTCTCTTTCCAAATCTGTTTGTGCAGCTTCGATACCTCTTTTCACTACTTCAGATATAGTATCCAATAATTTAGAACTAGCTTCCACTTCTTGACCAACTTGTAAAACTAAAGATAATAATTCAGCTACATCTGTAGAAAAAATTTATTTTAACTTTTTATTTTGAATAACAATAATTTAAATCAGAAATAAAAAGTGTAAATTTTTGCTTACCTGTATCTTGCGTAACCATTCCAAATCGTACACAAGCTAAACCATCGGCTCCCTCTCCTAAAGAAAATGCCGCATCCGTATTTCGTAAAGCTTCAACTAATTGCGTGTTTAATCTATTCAATTCTTCTTTTGCTTGGTCGGTCATGACATGAATCCAAGTAGGAGGAGCATATCGAACACCACCTAAACCTGCCCAACCAGGCATTTCTACTAAATGTAAAGAATCATTTTCTGAGACTAATCGTACGAATGTTGCTTTATGTTCAACTGTTGCTTGTAATATTTCCTGTTAAATAAGTGATAGCAATATAATTAATAAATAATTGTTAAAATATTAATTATATATTCGTGTTTAAAATAAACTTACTATCTGTTGTTCCAAACAAGCTATTACATTATCTATGTCTTCAGTTGAAGGAGGTTGTTCTGGATTTTCTAGAGGACAAATACGAATTGCAATACCATGATGTTCTATTTCACATAACTCTATTTGTACATTTTCGATGTCTCTTTGAAGAATTTGACCTAACCAGGAATTTAATTTATCGTAATAAGGAGGAACGCGTTCTGTTGTTTGAGGATCTCTATCTGCAGGCACAAATTGAAATACTAATGCACTAGCAACAGCTTCAAACAGCTGAGGATTGTTCACTGGATTTGTTAGAAGCTCATTTATAGTATAGGACCCTGTTTCACCTCCAGGTGGTTGACTCTACAAAATGAATTATATGATAGAAACAAACTTTTTTTTAAAACAGGATATTGTTGTTTAGATATATTACCAATATCCTTATACAAGAAAATTTCTTAATTTTATTGTACAATTCTTCCACAGCTAAGAAACATCTCTTCAATCTATTATGTACACCATCTCTACCTAATACTTGTAATGTAGTCCATAATGGTAAAGTTGGTAAACGTCTTGACAATGAATCGGTCATTAAACCTGATACTAAAGACAAAGTTGTATCTCTTGTAGTTGGACGACCGCCTTTTGTATCCGTTAATCTATATAATGTCTATGTATACATTAAGAAGAAATTTAGTATACAATTTTTAACATACTATTTTGATATTTATTTTTTTATTTATCTATTTAAACAATTTTCTAATCAAATATATGCATACTAAAAGGATACAACTACTGGCAAAGATGGTATACCAAGCCATATTCCAAGAGGTAATGTAACACTATCTGCAATCTTAGAAGGCTGAAATTCAAAAACATTCTTATTACATATTTTTAATGTATAGAAAAAAATAAGATAAAATCTTAGATATGAACACACCAAATCTTTTGCAGAATTATTCAATGCTAATGCAGCTAAAGAATGACCTCTAAGATGAAGCCAAACATTATATTTATCACAAATTGCACGTAATCTAGCAATATTATCGCAATGTCCTGTTAAAACTGAGCCTCCTTCTGCTAATACCAGAAGTGGTGTTACATTATTTGATTGCGTATCTTCTGCAAGTCTGCGTTCTAAAGCTGATACATCCATGCTATATCGCGATCCAAACATTGTGTTATGGGGGATGGGCCTTACACAATGGAGTGGCAAAGAAAGCTAAAAATTATAATAAAGATTTACAATTAAGAATTCACAAAATTATGTATTCTTTTAAATTATAGACTATAAGTTTTTATACTTGTTTGCACAAATGTTGAACAACTCCTAAAGGTGCAGCCACAGAACTGTAAATTAAAGGTGGAGAGGCTGCAAGTGCAGTAAAACCTTCTTCCATATATCGAGGATATTTTCGATGTAGAGCTAATCTGGTTACTCTGACCAAACCTTCCAAATGGTCCTCATGAAATGAAGAGGCACAATCGACAAAACGGAAAATATGACTTAGCCATCTAGTTGTATCTGCAGCCAATCGGCCTGCTAGTCTCTGAGCATGGGATTTTGGAAGTGCAAGCGCATACGCGGATATAGTATGTGCGATTAAAGCTAATTTCGCTGGCTCGGTTAATGTTGGCAAAGTAGTTACTTGACTTGTTGCCGTTTCTGTTGAGCCATCTTTAACAGATTGTGGGGCATCTTCGTGAATTACCAAATCCTGTAATATTTTAAGATTTTCCATAAAACATAATTCTAACTCTAATTTTAACTTTGTATTATTAAATTTTGTTTTATATCAATTTTTTTATAGTTTTAAGCGATTATGCTAATGTTACATATTTTAAAAAAACCGCCAACTATAATTCTATAGAATAATCAACCGACTGCAACAATCATATAACCACGTGATAAGTAATAGCCATGATCATAATAGTATCAACCAATCAGTTCGTAAATCTTAGAGAAACAACCAATAGTTGTCAATCAATGATTTCTGCTAGCGCTATATTTACCTGAATTAAAGTTAATATCTCATCTGAAGTTTTTGGCTGTGAAAGAAATCCGGAAGGATTGTTCCATGTGGTACCGCCACCGTCGGCTGCCCTCTCTACAGCTTCCTCGAGCCTCGATATTACCTGTGAAGCTTGAAACTCTAATGCGGCTACTTCGTTCGATGTAGACCCACCTCCGGTACTGACCTGTCAAAATGATCGAAAAAGTTCGGAATAATAACGTGTTGTTAGTACTAGGATTTCTTTCGACACTTCGAAAGGCACTATTACGTTATGACGCACTGTCCTGATCACGGCTGACACGAACCTCGAGTATATTTTGCGCTATACTTTCCATCGTCGTTTTATCGTTTGTGTCAGTCTCTTCGGCCATCGTGGCAATAGTCGTCGTGGCACAGTAGCGTCACAATCCATATTCTATTTATGTCCATAGAGTAATAAAAAAAATTTTTTATTTTCTCTCTAAATAAAAAGATTTTATATGTGTATATATATATATATATGTATATATAATATATATGTATATAGAAATATTATATTCCTTAAACAATTAGCATTTTATATTTTCTTTTTTTTTATATTAAATAGCAAAATAAGAAAAGGTATTAGACATAGTTGATACGGCCCTTATTTTATCTATATAGCTGTTATCGCAGCGCCAATTGTTCAATTTGTTGATTAACAGAAATATATTTTGCATATCAAATGGCTTATCATACACATGTGTTTTTAATTTAAATGTTTTAATTTGAAAAAATATTAATAAGTTAGTTAATTATATAAAAAAACTTAAACAAAAAAAATCTTTACTAATGATTAAATGTTTTTCAATTATCATTATTTTAGATTTTATTATTTATAAATTTTTTAAAATGAATTAAAAATGTAATTGATAAAATTGAATCAATAAAACATGAACTTCAAAGAATACAGACTTTTTATTTTATTATGACTTTTATATAAAGATTTTTGTAAGTGATTCAAACTATTATTTAAAAATACAATAATTTATAAAATATATACATATATTTATTGAAATATAAAAATAATAAGATATAAAAAATTTAATATTTTATTATATTCTGTTATATTATATTAATTTTGTTTAATGAAATAAATTTATATTAAAATTATGAATTCGAAAAATTTTTATTTTTTTATTACAATTTATTCTTGTAAAGATAATTACAGAATTATGTTAGATTAATAATATAATTTTTCGAATATATATATATGTACATAAAAAAAATTAAAAAATTAAATAATTTCAACTATACCACCAACTTTCCTGACAGCATCTGCTAATTGATCAGCATCTTGTTTTGAAAGATCACTTTTAATAATATTTGGTGTACTTTCTACAAATTTTTTAGCCTATAAAAATATAATTAAGTAATGAAATATATTTTACAAAATCTTAAATATATAGTTAATCACAGAATCAATAAAAAAGAATAATCAAAATATAATATAAAAGTTTAATCAAATAATCAAAATAATAATAGAAAAGAAAATAAATATTAATTTTTTTGTTTTATATTGTTTATTCATAATATTAAATCAGTTTAATTTTATATATATCAATATTAATATAAATAATATGTATAATATATGTAAAAATATTGAATCATTTGATGATTTAATTTTTTATAACATATTAAACTAATTTAATATTATGAATTTTGTTTATTAAATTTATTTGTGAGTAAGATTTAGCTTCAATATCATTCACACATTAATTTTATAATAATATTTATATCAATGAAAAATTTAATTTATTTAGTTAGTCTAATTTATATATAGCTTATATTAGTTGATGAAAATTTTGAAATTTATATTATAAAAAAATATCTATCATTAAAAATTAATAACAAGGAATTTAAAATGTTTTATAAATGACTTAATATAAGATAAAGAAATTACCTGTACAAGATTACAATTTGGTAATATGGTTTTTAACTCTTTTATTAAAGCAATTTTTTGTTTTTCATCAAAGCTTTTTAGCTTAACAGTAAATGCAGTTTGTACTGTTGCAGGCTCTTCAACTTCCTCCTAAAATTAAATAAATTTGTATAATTTCTCTTTGATAATTTCTCTTTTTAAAATGTTTTTATAATAAAAGAAAACATATATACTTCTGTTTTTACTGGAGCAGCAATAAAATTACTCATAGGCATTGCATCTGGCAAATTTAATCTCTTTTTAAGTAATTCACTTAATTGTGCTACTTCTATAAGATTTAAAGAAACAATTTGATTAGCAATTTGTTCTATTTTAGAATTAACTGGTAGTTCATTTTGTGTAGCAACAGATTCCAACAAAGAAGGTGTGCTCATTGCAGCAACTGCTTCTGTCTGCTGAATAATACTAAAACATTAAAATTACAACAAAAAAATTAAAACAATAATAAAAATGTATGCGTTCATTTTTTAATATTACAAAATTATATCAACTCTTTTATTAAAGCATATTTATTATCAAAAATTAATATAAGAATTATATATATTCACATTTTTATAATTTATATTATATTTTTTTAATATAATTCATATATTTTACATATTACATATTTATACATATTATATTATTTATACATATTTTAAGTCAGAAAAGAGAGGTTATATAATTATATTTTACTTAATTATATATTTTCAAAATATTAATTCGTACCATTTATGAAAGTGACGAACTTGATGAATATTTCGCAGACAAATAAATCGTAATGTATTCATTATATACATTTGATAGCAATTTGCTAATGTATAATTTTAATAAATATAGAAATTTTATTTGTAGCAATAGTCAGTGAAAATAAAAATATGAAGATCTACAAATAAAGAGAGAACGAATGAAAACGAATCAACACTTTCTAATCCGTAATTTAGTTACAATTCCTTTCATCTATTCCTGTAATGCTAGTATCTTATTCCATTCTGAATCGATAATATCGCATACAGAGTTATTGGATGAACATAATACGTTACTCTTTGTACCACTAAAAATGGCTAAATTTCCCTACTGTGAATTTTTTAGAAAGAGAATATGTGACATTATCTCCATTATCATTGCTAAATTAAACAAAAATATGTCACATAAGACAGATTTCTGCCTCTGGCATTTTGTTATGCTATATTATTGTTTATTAGCATTAACAATAAGAATAATATGACGTCATGTATTTCTCCTCCTACAGAAATTCACAGTAGGGGAATTGAACCATTTTTAGTGGTACAGAAAATAGTATACTCGTCTGATCGCATGTGATACGACCAATTATATACGACTATTATAATATTTAATTATTCCTATCGTTCCAATAACGCTGTTATCTTATTCCATTTTGAGTCAATATAATGTCGTATGTGACATGTGACATAATTACGATAGTAATGGATATGTATCCTTCGCATCCTGGATTAAGAGGCACAAAAATGTATCGAATGATTGGTTTATTCTATACTTAATATGACAAGAAATTAAAATTGAAATTATCAAATTTACTTTTTTAATATTTCTATTTGTTTCTTAGTTAATAATCTATATATATTATTACATATCTTAATAGAGAAAAAAATATCGAATATAAATATTTATTATATTCATTAGAAAGAAAACATAGAACGTGTATTATTCATGTAATGCTTTTTTTCTTGTCTTTTGAAGGTTACCTGACTCCTGTATTTTTGTGTCACACGCACACGCGATATTTCGATTTCGAATATAGCTACATGTATAACCTCGCTGCGTGACATGTGTTGAAAAGATTAATATATTTGTAAGAATATTCTTCTTTCTTTTCTAAAATTTTCTTTAGTATATATTTAATATATCTTAAATAATAATATATTAATATAATAATATTTCAAATTTTTTTTTATATATATATTAAAAATATAAAGAATTTAAGACATACATTAATTTTAATTAATATCTAATAACAAATGAATATATTTTTATTTTTAAACATATCGATTTCTAGAACATGAATGAAGATAACAACAAAAGAAAAAAGTAAAGAAGAAAATAAATTATTAACCACAATAATGACTGATTTTTCTGACAGTTTACAACATAGTCACATCCTTGAAGAAATGAGTAATAAAATTGTTTTAATTAAATTCACATATTTTAATATTTATAATTACATTAATTTTTCACATTTATCTATTACAGATTTTCCGTTTATATACGGTTTTTCACCTGTTACAGAGGATGGTGTGCCAATTAGAAAATTATTTATTAGTAACTTAGCACAAAGGGTTTGTATATATATTTTCAATTATAATTTAATAAAAAATATTTTAATATAAGAATATAATTTTTTAGACATCATTTAAAGATCTTATAAAATTATTTTCTAAATATGGAAATGTTGAAAGTTGTTTCTTACGAAGAAATCAAGGAAACAGTAATTATGCATTTGTTACTTTTCACACTGTAGAAGCAGCTTCAAGGTAATTTAAATTTTAATAAATATAAAATTAAAAATTATTAGTAAGAGAATCAATATTAATATTATATATTGATTTATAGAGCCAGATGTGATTTAGATGTAAGATTACACAATAGAGATTTAAGAATCTTTGCTGCTCATTCATGGCATCAACCAGATAGTATAGAAAATCAATATTATAATGTAAAAGATAAATCAAAATCTAATAAAAAAGAAATCAATGAACAATGTCATCAAGATTATATACAAAATGATATTACAAATACTAGTATTCAGATATTAAATGATGACTGCTTAATACATATTTTTCTTCAATTATCAATTGTAGATAGAATTAGAATAGAAAGAGGTTGAGTATATGATTTTTTTTTAATATATATTAATATTATTTTTATTGAAATATATAAATTTAATTTATATATGTATGGTATATATAAAACTTTTTTAATAATGTAGTGTGCAAAAGATGGAAGGCATTAAGTCTTGAATCTTGGCATAGTGTAAAAAGACTGGATTTATCATATTCTATGTGGGGTTTCTTACCTGCATTATTAAAATATAGAGAAATTACTACATGTACTATACGAAAAGTTTTATTGCGATGTGGTCTATATTTAAATGAAATAAATCTATCAAATGCTACAGTTAATGTACATCATAGTACATTACATAGTACATTAACTATTGTTGGAAAGTTGTGTCCTAATTTACAAAAAATAGATGTTACTGGTCTTACCATTTCCCCATCTGGTATCAATTCATTAATCAATAACTGCCATAACATTACAAAATTTAGCCTTGGTTCTACTACTTATGTTTGTGATATTGATCTACAAAAATTATTCAAAGTAAATCCAAAATTACAATATCTCAAAGTGGATTCTGGTAAAATATGTGGACGATGCTTACTTTATTTACCATTAGAAACAATTGAAGAAATTGTTTTAGAATGTTGTACTTCTCTTAAAGAACAATTTTTATCACAGGTAAACATTTTTCAATTTATTTAATTTATCTTTCAAAAATTTTTACTAATAAATTATTTTTATTTTTTTAGGCAATTTTAAAACTGCAAAACTTGAAATCTCTTACAATAAATAAATGTATTGGTATATCTGATAATGTTATCCAAGCTATAGGCACACATTATAAAAATCTAGAAACATTAGATATTTCTAATAATTCGTTTATTTTACAACCGAACGATATGTTACACATTGCAAAATTAACTAATCTTAAAATATTAAAAATTAGTTTCAATTCAAGTGTTATGGACGAACTTCTTTCCCATTTGGCATCAAAATGTTTGAGACTTACATATCTTGACATTGCCGGTAAGTTAAATATAATTTTTAAATAATTCATATGTAATTCATATGAATTTTTTATTTGTTACAGCATGTTTTCGAGTTACAAATGTTGGTATAGCTGCTATAGCAACTTTACCAAAATTAGAAGTGTTAATAATGAGTTATTTAGACTTAGTGACGGATTTAAATTTACGAGATATGAATAATTTAAAAAGATTAGAATGTCGTTCTTGTAAATTTACAGATCAAACAATGATTAATCTTATTGAATCTGCACCAAAATTAGAATTATTAGATTTATCACACTGTAGTGGTATTACAAATCAAACGTTAACGAAAGCTGCCACAGTTACAATTAATCGTACTAATAACATGATTTTAAAAATATTTGTTGGAGGAACAGCAGTGGATCTTAGCACATTTGATAAAGTGTCACCTTTCTTACAAATAGTTAATGTGATTTTGCTTATGTAGGTATATCTTGTAATATATTTGGCAAATTTGTACTGTAATATTTACCCCTAGAAAAACGTAGGCTTAAGCCATTACGTAAAAGACCAAGGGAAAGAATATGCTGAATTTATCTAAATTTTTTATATTTTTGATCCAAAAGTGTGATTTAGAAACAAATATTTTAGAATATTTGAATAATTTTGAATTGTGCGGAATAGAACGTGTATATGAATATTTTATATAAGATTTTTCATTAATAATTTATTTAATTAGATTGCAATACGATTATAAAGATAGATATCGTGGTGAGAATTTGACTTGACACATGATTATTCACAAGTTTCGCAAATTATTATAATATTTGAATATTTTGTATTATTATTGCACTTCTCGTTATTATTTTTTGAACATTCTGAACTTGAATCTTCATTTTCAGTTTGCTTATTACAACTAACTATAAATTATAAAAAATATTATTATTTTCTTTAGTGACTCGATTATATCATCAATATCACTATAATCATTGTTGCTGTCAGATATAATATCAAATATGATAATATGAAATAAAATAAAAATGTAAAATATAATTTACAAATCTCAAAACAAAATTCGTCTATACACTTTTTTTAAGACTTTACGAATTTGCTCTATTTATATGTTTTAAAATAAAACAATTATTTCGACTAACAATTGTTTTAAAACTTACATAAGTAAACAAAATATATAAGTAAAAAAAATATAACTTGCAACGATCATATAACATTATGCTTCATTATCTTTGTTTTGAAATATGATATCTAATTTCACGCATCATTGGTTTATATGCAGGTAGAATAATAAAAAAAAAACAAATAGAAGGAAATATATCTACCGACTTTTCCACGCGAATCCTGAAATTAAAAATAACAAATAATTTTTTGAAAATTTTTGAAATAAGAAAAATAACATTTTTTTCTTTTTTCTTTTTAAATAGTGAGCTCATGAAACCCTTGGTCTTTCTAGGATTAATGTATGGGTTTATTATAATTTAATATATATTAAATGATTTTTATAAAATTTGTTATAAAAAAAAAACAATTGAAAATGTTCAGTAAATGAGCATCATTATAAACCAAATATCTTAATATTACATTAATTTTATAAGAATCGATAATATTTATATTGATAGACTTTGAGATTAATCTATAGAAAATTCAAGAAAGCAATAAAGAAAAATAAACAGTAGTGTGATTGCGATTATGTTTTTAAAAGAAGTACATTATCACAGCCTATTAAAGAATAAGTACAACTCATGATGTTTAACATACAACATACAACATTGTTTTTGTATTATTTACTTTGGTATATTGTAAGAATATGTAAACGGATTGAGATTAATGTTTTTCTAAAAAAATTTATCCAAGTGTATTTTTTCTAATATTTATATATATATGATATATGAATATTTTCTAATTGTGTTATAAATGAAAATATATAAATAAAATAGAAATAATATATTAATAATTTTTTAACAAAAGCGCAATTTTTAAAAATAAATGATGGCACAAATTAATTAAATTGTAGTAAAAACAAGATTTTTAATATGAACTAAAATGAATAAATTATATAAATGAAAAGACAAAGGTAATTACATTAAAACAATTAAAATTTTTATGAATCATATATTATATAATATATAATAAATTCATATAATATATGAAATTTATTATAGTATTACTTAAGAAATACATAAATTTCTTCACTATTTAGAAATGTTATCGTAGCGTTCTAATACTGTTCTAATTTTTAATAATATAATTGCAAAAATTTTGTAATTTTGCATTCAAAAAAACAGATATAATTATTCGTTTTTAAAATATTATTAAATTTTTCTTATAAAATTTTAATATAAGAGAAATTAAATCTTAATGTAACTATACTTTGTGCATACAGGTACATGTAAAAAACTTTTACTAGAATATGTAATATTAATATACCTTCTTTGATTTATAGCGATAATTACAGAAATTATATTCAACTCAATCATAGAAATTAATAAAATTAATAGATGTTAAAAACAAATATCTTCGATATATCTTTTTATAAATATATGTTATATAATTATATGTTAGATTTCATAAATATTATATGTATTATATATTAGATTCATAGATTTTTAACTGCCACGAATAATAGAAAACTTATATTTGCTTTTAATAAACGAAGAGCGAATTTGATGAATTAGCGATCAGTGAATGAATAAAATATTTTAATACAAAATTAATTAAATCCTTTGTATTTTTCAGTCTCTTTTTTATATGTAAATTTTTATTTTAAAATAAATTTTGATAATATATAAATCAAAATAATTTTTTAAAATTAATTTCAAAAAAATACATCATCAATTTTAATGATATTTTAAAAATATATTATAAAATTAGATTTATTTTATATCTTATCTATGTACTAAAACATTAACTATTGTATTCATATAAATTCAAATAAAAGATACAAATTAATTATTGAATGTTTTTATCTTTAAGTAACTACATTACATAAAAAAATAATCGTTGTTAATATACATTTAATAATTAATAATTTATAAATATCAATATTAATTAATCAATAATATTAACACATACTTGAATGTAAGATAAATTTATTTTTTGAATAATTACAACATTTAGACAGTGAATCGATACAGTGGCAATTATTATCCACAAATTTATAACAAGAAATATCCATATATTTTTAATTAAGTTCCAGAAATAATTATTTCCTTGACAGTTAAAATTCACTGTTTAGTGAATAAAATTCTTTAACTGTATGATACATCTTACATAATTTTTTAACAAGACTTATTGGAAAAAAATTTTTTCTGTTTATAATGTATTATGAAGACCATGTTATAGTAAATAGCACATTATAAGATATATAAACATAATACGAAAGATCAGTTCTTGGGCGTCTTACGCTTAAACACATAAGTGGATATTTCCATTATGCTTGCAAACATCACAATACGCTCATAGTACACTCCGATATTTTTTTAAGCCAAATCGGAAAAAAGGCTAACATCTACACTTGCAATCGCATATATAAAAAAAGTAATGACTAAGCAAACATGAATATCTAGGAGAAAGATATATAATTTCCATATATATATATATATATTTCCATATATATATATATATATTACGAACTTTTCTCATTCAGTTAATAATTTCATTGCAATATTTTCGATAAAGAAAGAATTAAAATATATAACTTTTTGAACAATAGAATAAGAATACTTATACTATCATTATACTATGTACATATAAACATTTTTATCAGCACATTACAATGGTAAGCAACTATATCTATTGGATTGTACAATATTAAACATCTGTCTATCATCATGGACCAAATATTATTCGATTAAGAGAAACAATTAAAAACTATAATAACAAAAAATTATTGATTCCTATATTTGTATTATTTTGATTGAACGCTTTCTTTGAATAAAGTTTCAAAAAATTTAAATTTTTTTAAACTGTTTCCCTTAATCATGAATAGAATAAAAATTATTAATATCTATTAATTATTACACTTAATGGTTGAAATATGTGTAAATATAAAGATAGCCAAATGAATGGCTAAATTTTTAAACATAGTTCGCAAAAATTGCACAAGATTTGATTCACAACTATACAGTACATTCCATTGTATAGATTCATTATCATATGAACACATGGACACGCATCAAAGTTATGTTGTCAATTATTATGAAGTGTAACATTTCAGACCGCGATATATAATATAATATCATAAAAATAATTATTTTTAAAAATAATAGTTTAACATATAATATTAAAATAAAATAAAATAAAATATTTAGAAAAATATTTGTTTAGCATAGATATTTTTGCTTAATTCGAAAATTTCACATTACTTGATTTTAATAAAATAATACTTCATAATTATCCTTATATAAATTATAATAAAATATTATTTATAATCATATTATATAAAGACTAATAAAATAGCTACATATTATTTTTGATGATATTAATTGATTTTTATTCAATAGTATTTTAAATACTATTTTTTTATTATTATCATACGAAATATATATTTCTTTAAAATAATACATATACAAAAATTTATGTTAATTATCTGAAATACTATTTTATTTAATTATAATTTTAAATTTAATTTTATCGCGGACTGATATTTTCATAATGATAAAACAAAAAATTTTTTTTTCAATGGTGTGAATAATGTTCTACGAATGTCAGGTACAAATGTTATACTAGTAATATGTTTTCTAGTTAACGATTTTTTCTTCAAATTATATCTTCATAAATCCGATGCCCATTTATGTATCCTTGTATTATCATAGGAAACATAACTTGCCCATGAGTGTACAATAACGTTAAACTTATAAGGATAATCATTTATCTTACATACTTTCAACAAAAACATAAGATACGAAATATGTGTAAAATGAAATAAAAATTAAATACAGTGACGTATTTATACATGCAAATATGTCAATGTAGATTTTTATATTTTACGATACCATATATACATTAAAAGTGATCATATATATTCAATCATGTTCATTAAATTAAACACAATTGTTATCGCGACTTTAAAATCAGATTATGATATATATTTAAAAATAATTTAATATTTTAAACATAAATCCAATATTCATATAGAATATTATGATATAATTAATAATTAACATCTTATGCATTTAAATAAGTAAATATCTATTTAAAAAAAAAAAATAAATAAAAATAAATGATATATCGAAATCTATATTAATGCTCTTAGATTCTATTTAATAAATGCTTTTCATTCAAGTGTTTATGCGAATGATTGAGCAAATTTTAAAATATAGTGAAAAAAGAAGTAAGAGTGAGAGAGTAAGAGAGTGAGAGTGAGAGAGTGAGAGAGAAGAAAAAAATATAACAGATTCTTATAAATAAGTCTGTTTTCAAAATCGCGAAAGATCTTCATTTTACGAACTTTATAATGTTAAAAAAAGAAAAAATGAAAACGCCACTGTTCATATTAATAAAACGAAAAGAAATGAAAATTAACTTAAGAGTACTGAACGCGTATATAGGTAGTCAAGTATGTAAGAGTGACATTTATTCAGGATTGTACATTCGCTAAACGCGTTGGAGTAGTCGGTTGTAAATCCATTGTACGACATACCCAACCAGCAATATCTACATTTTCAGATTCAGCTTTTTTAATCCATTCATGATTCTAAGAATTAAAGATGCATTGCAATTTAAAAAGTAAAATAATAATTATTTAATTTAAATGAACAATTATATAAAATAAATTACATACCATTAATGTTTTTAAATCTGCCCTTTCAGCAGGATTTTTTTTCAAGCAACGATCCACAAAATCTGTAAAAGCATCGCTAAAGATACCAGCAGGCAATTTCGGTGGTGGTTCATTCACGATATAATCCAGCAATTCGAATATAGCCATCGGTCTTGGACTACCCGTATCTATATAAAAATAATTTTATTATAATCATAATATAGGATTTATGGGATATTAAAAAACAAATAAGTTTAATAAAATATTTTATATAAATTTAAATATAAACAAGATATAAATATAAAAAGATATAAAAATGAAAAAAAAGAAATAAATCAACTAACTATGTCCTGGAGATTGCGTTGGAGTAGAAGCATTATTTGTAGCTGCACTTTCTGTAGGTGGTTGACCTGTCGGAGTATTAAATATTGCAGCTAAAGTTTTTTCATCTGGAGGTGGAATTGGATACATTCCAATTGCCATTTCCACAAGTGATAATCCTAGAGACCAAATATCACTTTGAACAGAATAATGTGTACCTTGAAGTCTTTCTGGCTAAAAAATGGAATAATTTATAATATATTATCTCTTACATATATTAAAATTAAAAATAATATACATAATGATATATAGTACAATTATAATTATAATTCCTACCGACATATAACTTCTCGTTCCAACAAATGAATTAGCCATAGAATCGATTAATTGTCCGGAAACACCAAAATCACAAATTTTTATTTCTCCAGCGCTATTTACTAAGATATTGCTTGGTTTTACATCTCGATGCATAATTGCATGTTTATCTCGCAAATAGCTTAAACCTTTCAAAACCTATGACAATATTACATCAATTGAATATTGTTTAAAGTTTTCTTATAAATTACAATTAAAAAAACATATATAAAGTCCGAAATTTCTTTCATATAATCGAAAAATCGAACAAGAAGGCCATGAAAATAATTGAACTCTGAAAGAAGCAGTCTTTTTAATATTTTATATCTATATTCGAATTTGTGTTACATCTATGTATGTGAAGCTAATATATTTAAAAATGATCAAAATATTATCTAAAATAGCGCAAAAACTAACTATTACTCCAACCGAGAAAAAACTTACTGAAAGCGAATTGAAAGCTCTTCAAGAAGAATTACATACTCTTGATCATATGATACCTTTGGAAGAGTTATGCCAGAAATTAAATACTCATACACAGTATGGTTTAACTGAAGAAGAAGCGGACAGACTTTATCGTGAGGTGGGACCAAACGCTCTAACACCACCAAAAGTACTTCCAGAATATATTAAGTTTATAAAATGTATGTTTCATGGATTCGCTAGTTTATTATGGGGTTGTGCATTATTGTGTTTCGTTTTATGTGGAGTTAGTTTATTAACAGAAGGTGTAACTGGTGGCTCAGAATGGTTAGGATTTATTATTACTTTGATCTGTTTATTTTCTGGTATTGCTGCATATGTACAAGAAACTAAGACTACAAAGGTAAACAAATCATTATCATATTGAAATCAATGTATGTTTATACATACATATTCTTCAATATACATATCCTTTTTTATATATTTTACAGGTAATGGAATCATTCAAAAAAATGGTACCGACTTTTGCAACCGTAATACGTGGAAATACTAAAATTCGTTTACCAACTGAAAATTTAGTCCCAGGTGATTTAGTGGAAATTAAAATTGGCGACAAAATACCAGCTGATATTAGAATCATCGACTGTCATGAACTTAGAGTTGAAGTTTCAAGTATCACTGGAGAAAGTGAACCAGTACTTCGTTCAGATAATCCTACCGATGAAAATCCCTTAGAATCTGCCAATATGGCTTTCTTTTCTAGCTTTGCTGTTTCTGGGAATGGAATCGGAATAGTAATAGCTACTGGTGATCAAACAATGATTGGTCGCCTTGCTGGCCTCACGGCACAGCTTGAAAAAGTTGAAACACCAATAGCTAAAGAGATCAGACACTTTGTTCAAATAATTATTACTATTGCAATATTATCTGGAGTGTTATTTTTTGGATTATCGTTAATGATTGACTCTAATTTAATAAGAGCAGCTACTTATTTACTTGGCATTGTAATAGCCAATGTACCAGAAGTTTTATTAGTAACTGTTACCACGAGCTTGACGCTAACAGCTCAAAAAATGGCGAATAAGAATTGTTTAATTAAGAATTTAGAAGCAGTGGAGACTTTAGGATCGACCTCTACTATTTGTTCAGATAAGACTGGGACTCTAACGCAGAATAAGATGACTGTATCTAATTTATGGGTTGGTCACACAAGATATAATTTTCCACCAGATCGAAGATTAGGTCTTGAAAGAACTTTGATAATAGAAAAATCAGATTTCCAAAGGCTGCTTAAAAGCGCCACTCTTTGCTTGCGTGCAGAATTTATGACGGAAGCCGTTTTATTGAAACCTGTTGAAGAACGAGAAGTAATTGGTGATGCTTCGGAAACAGCTATTCTTAGATTCTGTGAGCACTTACATTCAACGGAGGAATTTCGAAATATGCATCCAAGAGTTGCAGAGATACCATTCAGTTCAGCAACTAAGTTTTATATGTCAATACACAAAGTTCATGATGGATATCTTATGATTTTGAAAGGTGCTCCAGAAGTAATTTTAGACAAATGTAAAACAATATTGACTGCGGATGGGGAAACGAAAAATATGACACCGCATGATTATGCACTATGTCGTCGAGCTTGTTCAGAATTCGGTTATCTTGGAGAACGTGTATTAGCCTATTGTGATCTTCGTTTGCCTCATGATACTTATGGTCCAGATTATAAGTTTAATACTGAATCTCCAAAAGACTATAATTTTCCTACGAAAAATTATAGATTTGTCGGATTAATAAGTCTTATAGATCCACCACGGCCAGCTGTACCTGACGCTGTAGGAAAATGTCGAACAGCTGGTATTAAAGTGATCATGGTAACAGGTGACCATCCTGTAACTGCGATGGCTATAGCAAAAAAAGTCGGTATAATAAGCGAAGGACACATAATCGCTTTTGAACGAGACGGTGAAGCAAAAATTGAACTAAAAAAAACAATTTCTGTAATAAGTGAATTAGGTAAATTAGATGGCAATAGACGTGCTATTATTGTTACTGGTATTGAATTGAGAAACATGGACAGCAAACAATTGGATGAAGTTATAAAGAAAAATGATGAAATTGTTTTTGCAAGAACATCTCCGCAACAAAAGCTACTCATTGTAGAAAGTTGCCAGAGATTAGGTGAAATCGTTGCGGTGACTGGTGATGGCGTAAATGATTCGCCAGCATTGAGAAAAGCAGATATAGGAGTGGCCATGGGTATTAGTGGTTCTGACGTAGCAAAGGATGCAGCTGATATGATCCTGATGGATGATAATTTTGCATCGATAGTAACTGGAATTGAAGAAGGTAGACTGATATTTGATAATCTTAAAAAATCTATTGTTTATACTTTAACGTCTACTGTGCCTGAAATGTTGCCAATGTTAAGTAGTATTTTATTTGCTATTCCTTTGCCCCTTATTCTTGAAATGATTCTTTGTATAGATATTGGAACAGATTTACTTCCAGCGATAGCATTAGCATACGAAAAACCAGAATCCGATATAATGCAACGGGCACCAAGAAATCCACAATATGATAGGCTTGTAAACAAACGTTTAATATCATTAGCTTATGGTCAGATTGGAATGACTCAGTCTATGGCTGGTTTTTTTACTTATTTTTTAATATTGATGTTAAATGGATTTCTACCCGATCGTTTGTGTGGATTGAGATTTGAATGGGAGGATAAATCGATTAACGATTTACAAGATTCTTATGGTCAAACATGGACTTATGATACTAGAATGGATTTATTAAATGAAGCTCGTACTGGATATTTTTTATCTATTGTTATAACTCAAATGATAGATTTAATAATGTGTAAAACAAGAGTTAATTCAATTTTACAACAAGGAATGGATAATTGGTTTTTAAATTTTTCCTTTATTTTTGAAATAGTCTTAACTGGTATTTTATTGTACGTGCCAGAAACTGAAAAAATACTCAAAATCATGCCATTGAGTTCTTACTGGTACTGGCCATGTTTACCACTTGGTGCATTTCTTTGGATATATGATGAACTAAGAAGATTATGTATTCGTAAATATCATCGTGGAATTATATATCAGGAAACTTATTACTGAATAATTTATTTATATTTAAATTTTATGACTAATGTTTAATGAAATTAATTAATGAAAATGCTTTTAAATATTAATTATAATAATAATATAATTATAATAAATATAAAAATATAAATCTTAAGCAAATTAGAATAAACAAAGATTATGAATTTATAGAAATAATTATTTAATATACTTACTGCTGATGTAATTGTGCTTAGTATAGGTTCTGGAATTCTTCCAGCTTTTTTCAATATTAAATCTAATGAACCACCATCCATATATTCCATACATATACTAATTTCTCCATCACTGTAATAAATAGATATTTTATATCTAATGTAAACATTAATTTTTATAGGTAATTATTATTTTATGTTAAATAAAAAGTATATACCTATAAAAAGCACCATAAAATCCAACTATATGTGCAAAATTGCACTCATGAAGTACTTTTAATTCTCTGATTATTTGTTTCTTAATTGCAGGTTTAACTTCTAAATGTATTAACTAAAAAGTTTTAATTATTATTATATCATTTCAATGTATTAATTTGTATTAATATATTAATTCAAGTTAAAGTAAAAAATTAATATGAGCAATACCTTTCTTGCCATTATTAGTCCATATTTTTTATGTCTCACTTTCATAACAACACCACCATTACCAGCACCAAGTTCACCAAGTTTCTCAAAATCTTCATCACATAATTCTCCAACTTTTTCTTTTTGACCTAAAAAACTTTCTAATCTTTTTCTTTGCTCTTCATCCATTTCTAATTCTTCTAACCTTTCTTGAATAGCATCTATACTCATTTTTCCCATTACTCCACTATGATAAAATAAATAGAAATTAATATATATAATAAATTTTTCATTTTAAATAATGTAGATTTTAAATAAGAAAATTAATTACTCTGGTATTACTGGTGGTTCAGAATAAATAGGTAACGATGGTACTGGTGGTGATGGTGATACAGCTGGAACTGGTTCTATTGAACCAGGAGGTAATGTCAAATTTAACTTGTTTTTTGACATTTGGATTATAAAACTAAACAATCACTATAATACACAATTTTTACACAAATATGTTGTTTATTAATATTTTTTAAAATTAGATAATATCTATTTAATCAATTGAAAATTTATTTAATTGAAAATATTTTTTATAATCGTATACGTTTAATTTACAATAAATGTATTATCATTAAAACCATTCTCATTATGAATTTCATTCGAAAATTTAGGAAATAGTCCTAATTTAATGTTGTTAGAAATGGACTATTAAGTTTCAAATTTTTCGTTAAAATACACTTTTTGTTAAATCACGAAAAAACATAAACTTTATTCTGAGTAATTGTTAATTTAATAACAGCAATCATGAAATGGCACAAATATGCATTTTCTTACAAATATTGTACAAATAAGAAGAGGTTATACGAATCTTCCCGGGACAACGACAAACATATATAATATAATGTTCTAAATATCCCTAGAATTAAATTTTCTAAAAATTTCATTAATTTGACATATTACAATGATATTTTAATTATAAGACAATTCTTCTTAATATTATCAAATTTTTATCATTTTATTTGATTAATATTATATCAAAAATAATTAATCATTAATTATAAATAATAAATAAATCTAATATATCTAATTATGTATTACAAACATGTATGATGTATGATGTATGATTCATATTTAAAGTTTAAAATTAAATATTTTTGATTTTAAAAAATTATTAAAATATACACATATAATAATTATTCAAGCTAATTTAATACTTTTATAAATAGTTAAAAGTGAAATTATGTATTAAATTATAATAATTATATATTACAATAATTATGTGTTATAGTTCAAAATTTACATTCATATAGATTTAACTAAATATAATAAAATAAACGTTATATATAGTTCTTTTAATGATAGAAGATGGTACTCCATATCTTATAGGAAGTCTAGGTATATGTATGACGTTTTTTCCTTCAAAATCGTGCTCTTAAAAGGTACGTATGATCTGCATTATATCAATTTTTGAATCTGCTTACATCTACACTTTTGTATTAATAAATTTCTTATAATAACGTAATTTTTAAAAATATGATATTAAGCAATTATTTTATAAAAAAAATGTGAAGTGAATATTTTATAATCAATAATTATTGAATTTCAAAATATGTAGTGGCAGGTTAAGTCGCGACACCTATATCGTAAAATGCCGATATGAAAGATTGTCATCAAATTTCTGTAATTCTAGAACAAAATGGGTCGTTATTCTCATGAACCGGTAAATGCAAGCAAATCGTGCAAAGCACGAGGATCTAATCTGCGAGTACATTTTAAGGTAAACAAAAGACTATTTTGGAACACTTAACCTAAATTATTAAAATTGTATTTATAAAATGTAAGGATTTAATGATATATTATATTTAATAGTTTATAATCTTATAATTATTATTCTACTTTTTAGAATACACATGAAACAGCACGTGCCATTAAAAACATGTCTTTGCGAAGAGCACAAAAATATTTGAAAAATGTAATTGAACATAAAGAATGTGTACCATTCCGTAGATTTAATGGTGGTGTTGGTAGGTGTGCTCAAGCAAAACAGTTTGGTACTACACAAGGTAAGTAATAATAAATAATTTTTTTTTACATTTAATAATATTTTTTATATTTAATAATATTTTTAACAATTAAAAAATTATTTTTATAATGACTAAATTATCTATTTTTAAATTTAGGTCGTTGGCCTAAGAAATCAGCAGAATTTTTACTTCAATTATTGAAAAATGCTGAAAGTAATGCTGATGTTGATGGACTAGATCTTGATCGTCTTGTAATTAATCATATTCAAGTAAATCATGCTCCTTGTCTACGTAGAAGGACATATAGAGCTCATGGTCGCATTAATCGTTAGTATTTCTAACAATAATAATAATAACTTAAAATATATATTAGTAATTAGTAATATATATATATACTTATTATTATATTAGTAATATATATATATACTTTAATTAAGTATATTGTATATTTTTATAATATATTTATAGCTTATATGAGTTCACCATGTCACATTGAAGTAATTTTGACTGAAAAAGAAGATTTTGTAGTAAAAAGTCCAGAAGAAGAACCATCAAAAAAGAAACTAAGTAAAAAGAAGCTTGCCAGGCAAAAGGAAAAAATGATGAGAGAATAATTTTTAATATTGAATATATCATGAAGAATAAAAATTACTCTGCTTTGTCTAATTTTTTTACATCATTTCTATCCTTTTCTATTATAAGTTATAAATTGAAATCCTGTATAATTTATTTGTAATATAAATTTAAAATAATAATTTAAAGGAATAATGGATTTATTTTACAAAGTAAAAAACTTAATTAAATTTCTTTACTTTCTTTCATTATTACATCGTTATTTTACATTTTAAATGTCTTGTTACAATTTATGATGTCCGTATTTGGAGTACGAGTCAATGGCAAGAGATACAAAAGTACGTACCAAAAATATTACAAATATTTGAGAAATGAAATGTCTACAGTGTAAATAACTGTACATTTTATATGCGTTAATAAACAAAAATTCATACATTTTTTTCAAGATTACAATATTCTAACGAATATCTAATTTTTGAATATATAAAGAAATATATATTTTTGTTTCCTTATAAAAAAAAATATAATGTATGAATTAATATTTTTGTATTTTGTTTATTTTTGAAAATATCTACTATCATTTATAAATTCTAATTGTTAATACTAATTTGTTTATTCGAAATTGATATGTAAAACAGGAATGTGATGTTCAATCGCCACAATGTTGTCTAGAATGAATCGTATTATGAATTAAATGAACAAATATATGAACGCACAATTTATTATTATAAACGTGATAAGTTTTTCAATTTTATGTGTATATGACTGTACATCAATTTATTCGATCTGATGCAAGTTTTCACCGATGTCAAGAAAGTGGTTCCCGTGTTGTATTTGGTAAGAATAAACATAATAATCCTCCACCTGTATGAAAAATTAAGTAGAATAAATTTTAATAATGATTAATGATATACCTATATTGGTTCTTTATCATTTAAGGATATTTCTTTTTTGTTGAAGATTCTTAATTTTGAAATATACTATATTTATTATAAAATATATAATAGTTAGTAATATAGTTATATATGTATATCATATTGATATAGTAGTAAGATTATATATATTCAAATTACTATATATAAATAATAATAATTATTATTATAAAATATATAAAACATACCGATTAAAAGTGCAGCAACGATAAAAGTTGGTGCTGGACAATACATATCCAAGAGTTGAGATATTACGATGTTACCAATAATTCCACCGAGACGCGCTGCAACCATGGAAATAGCAATTCCTGTTGCGCGAAGAGGTGTCGGGAAAACTTCGGTTATTAGACAATCTAGAGCTGCATTTCCACAGCTTATCACACCGCTGAAGATAGCCGAAACGATCAGATTGTGATGCTTATTGTATACAAAATATAATCCGATCGCGCAAAGTCCTGATGAAAGTGTACTAAACACTGCAAATAAAATAAAATTAAAATTATTTATTAAAGAAAATATATAAAAATATTAAACATAATTTTATAATTATTTGATTACAAAATATATTTAATTATTTAAAATGTTAAATTATATTTACGCAAGAAAAATTTACGGCCAAGACGATCCATTCCTAGAACAGCAATAATATTTGCAGGTATAGCGGATGCTACGGTAATTAACGATTCCATAAAAACGGAAGCGCCAATTTTATCGGAACAAAGATTCTTGATATTTTGAGAACCTCTTTGAACCACATATTCGGTCACTTGACATATCGAAGCGATTTCATTTGGATGATCACGATGAAATTCGTCGAAACGATTGAATAATTCGGGAAACCACATCATTAAACCGTAATAACCGATATGAAAAGTGAAATTAATAATAATTGAAATCATGGTGAAACGAAGTATAGGTGAGACGAAAAGTTGTTTGCTATTGTTTACGATATCGGCGAGCATTGTTTTGCATTTGTTCTTTTCGATGCTACTATTCGTCAATTCCGGTTCTCGGATGTCATTTAAAATTAATTCTTTTACCTGAAATAAAATTCATTGAAAATTATAATTTTTTTCAATGCTTTTATAATATTTATAATAAATATTTATTTCGTGACACATTAATATAAAAAATATTACCGTGTAACTATCACGTGATTTGCCAGTATTAATGGCATAAATTCCACGGAAGATATCGAGCGCTTCCTCGTATCTTCCGCAGGATAAGAGGTATTTAGGAGATTCAGGGAGCAACAGGAGCAGCCCCGCGACGATAAACGATGGAGCAGCGCAGATCAGCAGGAAGATTCGCCAAGAATTATACGTGAACGCTGAATATGTGATACCGATATCATGAGGGATGATCAACCACGCCAAACCTAATAATTATTTATTATTTTTAAATAAAATATGGATTTATGATTTAATTATATTTTATATAATATAAAGAATAATTTTTAGTTAAAAAATAATTGAAGATTTACCAGCAACAAAGAGGTTTCCAAGTGTCCAAAAGGCAGCCATAAAGGACAACATTGATCCTCGCTTCGATTTTGGTTGGAATTCGGCAAAGTATGACCAAATCACAGGTCCGCTACCTCCAAGACTGTAATAATTGAGAACTTTTTTTTAAATAATCTTTTTAAATATACGAAAAGTATTCATTATCGTCAATAGTGGCCTGTTATAAATAAATTATTATAAATTTTTAGGAAGTTATGTTTCGTTATATGATTCATCAGTATTCCACTTTAACTCGCGTTTAAAAAATTGTTATATAATAAAATATCAAATATCAAATGAGCTCGATATATTGCAAATTATTGCGCACAAATTGATTTACTTACGCAGCGCCGTTGAGAAAACGGAAGATCATAAAGAGTGCATAAGATTGGCTGAAGCTGGAGGCGACAATGCAAAGAGCATTTATGAAGGAGATGGCGATAAGAACTTTCCGTCGACCTAGGGCGTCCGCGATGGAACCCCAGGCGTACGCCCCCGCCATCATACCGATGAAAATGATTGAGTTGAGCCATCCCTTGGCTTGAGTATCGAGATTCAGGTCACATTGTGCACTAGGAAGGATGAAGGACATAGAGATTACGTCCATCTCCTCACTGGTGCTAACGAAGCCGCATACCGTAAGAAGGAAGTAGTGAAATTTGCCATAGTCTGAGAATTGGAAAGAAGAATAAAATAAATAATAATTAGATAGATAATAATTCATATTGAAATAACAGAAAAGTGTAGGAAAAATAGAGCTAATAAAAAAATTACTGGTAAGTTCAATGGCCTTTTCGAAATCCGCTTTATCGATGGATCCTTTCTCTGGATCTAGGGTCTTGCCCTTTGTTCCAATACCTATTATAGAAAATTACGATATAGTTAAATTTGTGGAAGCTATCGATTCACGTTAATAGACATAATTTATATAGAATTTCTACCTACGAGCAAGTTCGAGATCCTTAGAACCACAGCCGTTTAGCTGCTCGTCTTTTACATCACACTCTGAAATAATAAAGTTAAGATTAATATTTAAATATTAATTGTGTAATTAATCATACACAAATAATTTTAAAATAAAAGTTATTTTTAAATCAAAAACAAATATCAATCTTTATATATATATATCAATCTTTCTATAAATAATATCTTTTTATTATTTCTAAAAATGATTAGATATTTTGAAGACTATTCTAAAAGATACATACTATGATTGTGCTTTGAATTAAGATCACCCTCTACCATTCTACGATATCGGCGCAGTTGGGTGAATCTGGCTTGGTAATACGATTAGATGAGACTTCTTCGTGCTCGACGACAAGCTTCGATCGATATGAGATTGATATCGTTCTTGCGGATTACTGGATCTCGGCGAAGTCTTCCTGCTGAATCTGCGCTGATCTGCTGCTGCTCGTCGGCGGGGCTAGGTTCTGCGCTCACTTGTGAGCTAAAACATGACGCAAAAACTTATATATGCTTACATAAAAAAAAAAAATAAGAATGTATATTTTATAGTATTTTTCATTAAACAAAAATAATACCAAGGTGAGTGAAAGTAAAAAAGTCATGGTCGATTGAACGTATGTACAAAGAAAATTCATAAATAGCTTCAAACGGTTAATTTACTTACAACAATTTAAACGAGATTGATGTAAAAAATTTTAAGATTAGATAAGTTTTGAAAAAAATATAAATTTATAAAAAATAGTAAAAAATTTATAAATATACAATTTATAAAAAATCAATAGAATTTATAAAATATTTAGATTTTTATGATTATTTCAATGTTAAAGAAATTAATAGAAAACATTTTATCAGTTAACTATTCTAATATTAAAATATCAGGATAATATATTAAAAATTCAATAAAAATAGAAATACATATAAAAAAATAGCTTAAAAAATTTATTTAACATATATGTTCTCGGCATTAATCATTATTTAATTATTCAACAATTATATTTCACAAAATTTTGAATGAAATCAAAAAATGATGAATCAAAAATAGATAAACTTAACTTGGATAAGATAGTTTAAAAGAGTATTTTGTTGTTCTAACAGAACACGATCACGTGTTTCAAATCAATATGCAGGGGTTAAGTAGGGCCAATTCGTAATTGCATTGATAATGGGCGTAGGTCGTAACGTTTTGAAAGGCAACGATTTGGAGGCTTTCCAATGATGGAGATGATAATTGAGTCTGTTTACAAGGCGGCTTGCAAGCGGAACGTGATTCGCATCTTGTGAGGGTTCTATTTTTATGTTCCCTTTTAAAGGTAATAAAAATGTTATTGTAACGCTGTCATAAGAAACGAGTATTGTATGTGAATATCAGTTAAGAACAATTGTTCAAAAGTGAAGAATAATTAAATGTGTAAAAAGATATTATTAAATATTTTTGTTTTTTGTATTTACAATAATAAAAAGTTAAAAATTAAAGATTTCATAACTTTCTAGAATTCTCTTAGGCTTATTTTACATTTACTGTACGTACTATAATTGTAATAAAAAAAAAAAATTGTAATTTCCTGCAAAATTACACAAAGATCGACCTTGATCTAACTACACTTATTTAACATATGGAAGAAGCACACTATATATGATTACTCTAATTATTATATGTTCCCACAATTCTATGCTCGATATAACTAGTAGTATC